TAACTCTTTTAGAACTAATTTATATAATATTATATAATTATTTAAGTTACTGATTCTGCTATTAAATAATTTATTAAATATTAATAAGTTTTGAAAGTATAGATTAATAATATATTATTAAATATTATACTTTATTTTTTTTAATAAATTAATTATTTTATTCAAGAATATTAATATTTATTATCTGATATTATCTTTATTATTCTTGTTAGATAGACAAAATCATAAATAACTTTGATTTTCTTGTATACTCTTATAAAATATATATAAACTATCTTTATATATATGAGATTTATAAAGTTTAAGATTTTACAAAGTTAGTAGTATATTATAAATAGCTTTAATAAAGAAAGTTCTGACTTTACATAAGTATATATTTATTATATTACTATTCATTTCTTTATCTTGATTTCAAATTAAGAATATTAATATCTAATTTATTTTATAAAAAGAGATTAAAGTATTTTAATCTTATTCTCAAGTTATTATTTAATAATATATATATTTTAATAATATTTTTTCAAAAAATAATATAAATTAAAATTAATTTTCATAACTTGATTAAAGATTGATTTAAATCTAGATAATAATAAATTATGATAATTAATATATAAGAGATTAGCTTTAAAATTTTGATTTGTTAATTAATTAATTAAATTATTATCTGAATTATTTGAGTATTTTTTAACTTTGTTAATTATTATATTTATTTTTTTTATTAATATTATATGTTAGAATTTCTTATAAAAATCAGTTTAATTATTGATATATTTGTCTTATTAGTAGGTAAAAATGAGATATTATATTGATATATTAATAGTAAGATGCTTGCAATTAAGTTTTTTTTAATTAGACTTGATTCTGATATGGATATAACTAGTACTAAAGTTTTTGATCATCATTAAAACTAAAAGCTGATAATTTTATTTGCTGATCACAAAGTGTTGGATACTTTTGGTAGAGGAATGTACTTAATATTTTAATTTTAATTGGTTATATTCAGTAAAATTAATATATTTGGATTAAAATTCGCGATATGAGATATAAAATATGTGATTTGAATTGGAATTTGGGTTGGGATTTGAAATATAGAATATGGGATATGGGATTTAAATTCGAATTTGGACTGGAATTTGGAATATGGGATTTGGAATGGGATTTAACACACCGAATTTTTGCTAATTCTAATGTCCATTATCCCATATTATATCCCATAATATAGATAACAAGTATAGTTCAGTAGATTGAGAAATATAGTAGCACAAAACAAAATCAATTTGAGGAGACAGACGCTGTTACCACCAGAAGTGATGTTCACTAATGATTATTACGCAGATATCGAGAAGAATTATCCGAGAATTTTCATGCATCTCGATTAATTTGATGTATCAGTGCTTTCATCATCTTACATTCATTTGATGAAAAGCACCATATGAATGATTTATTTAATAATATTGTTATATTCATCTATTCAGCTTGAAGAATGTGATTCTGGAAATCGTCTTGTTATCCATGGCTTGAATACCTTCAATCTTGATGAGCATTTTTAAAAATCTTTTGCATGCATGGAATACTCAGGTCGACTTTGTGAGACAGACATGGAAAGGGAATATTTGTATCAGCTGCTACCTTGTGTTAATCCTAAGAAAAGGTAATGTCTTTGTTTATTCAGGCTTTTGTTAGTTTGCACATCAGCTAACTTTTATTAGTTAATGCTAGCTGGCATTGGATGAAGAAGACAGAAATAGAGATAGAAAAGGTAAAGGCAAAGGAAATAAATAAAGAAAGACTACTCTTTGGGGTTATGCTTAAAACTATAAAAAATCCAGCCGAATTTGTACATGTAATCACATCTGTTCATAATTATTTTATATCAAAATTTTCATGTTTAATATGTAACAATTTGATGCATTTTATTACATAAGAAGCTTTCTTTTAATGCATCAAATATACAGAAACGATTCACTGAAAAATAAAAAAAAACTACATATAAACACACGCGATAAAAGTTGTTTGTTACATACATTTATGTACTTGTCTTGTGTATTTACTTACTTTCAAGCAATTCAAGTTCATTTTATAAAGTGAACTCAAAGAAGGAATCGAATGCACACGATTGTATAAATGTACCAAATGTCAAGAAAGTGACTACAATCACAAAACGGATTAAAGGATCTAGCGGAAACAAAATTAATAAAGACTTATTAAATTATTCGAATGGATTCCTTTTGAAAGATTTACCAACGTTTGAATATCTTTACGAAAGAGGTGTTGGGACAACTTATCGTTATAAAGTAACCTACTGTACTTGGATAGTCATTAAAAGGGAATTGGGATCATGAGACAAATAAATTTACCTTTCAAATGAAGGAATCTGACCTATTTTCGTTTTAGCAAACAATTATGTGATCTGTCGAATTGCAATTTCATATAGGCGTCGAAGACCAAAAGCAGGAAAATTTGAAGTAACCGATTTCACGGTTAATCGGTTTATGTTGTGTTTTTTCTTTGTAAGTGGGCTTAACGGGTTGGGATGTTTTCGAGTCAACCTCGCTATGTATAAGAAGCGATCATCCGCAAACCAGCTTGATTGATAAATTTGCGATATTTTGCGATAAAAATTTGCAGTCAGCAAGAAATTCCTGATCTTCTATACCTAGATAAACCTCATACTAAACATTATACTTTTATGAGACATATCATCTAGTTGCAAAGCAACCTCACGGTTGATCGGTAATGTTATTTGTAATTGCTTTATGCATAGGATGCGCAACCAAAAGACCCAGTCCATTCTAATAACCAACTAACATATGAAGCTTAAACTTTAATGACAGTTCAATTGATCCGAGGTCGGTCTTATAGATCACAAAAATAAATCAAAAGTTCTGATTGACATGACATTGTTTTTCTTTCCATACGTAAATGTTTTTGCGATTGTTAATCGAGTATCGCCTTTATTTGTGCTAGCCATGTGTTGCTAACACTAATTGACGATGGCAAAGTGGGACTCGCAACGATTGGTTTCATTTGCGTTGGTAATGGGTTATTTTATTTTTTATAAATCGTGAGCAACTCTCGCAAAATAAATATAAGAAAACATCAACGGAAAGGGAAGACTTACGTATCGAACAATCTTTTATCAATCACTTATAATCTCTTCCGGTGCTTTTTCTTTTCCTAAATTGAGTGCGTTTTTTATCTTTTCATAAATTCATGAAAACGTTGACTGGTTTACTGTTAAAAATCTTATGAATGCTAATTGAATTTTTCTGCGCATGTTCAACGAATCATAACTGAATGAGAAAAACACAAGATTATTTACGCCATCGATTGATTATACATTATTATCAAAACAAAGCGTGTTATCCAGGAAAAGTTTCTTTGAATCAAAAATAACGATAATACTTTTACGCAGCAATTCATTTAGAATCCTTAAACAAATAATAGTATACAACACGTTCCGAAACTAAAAGCCAAGAACTTCGCATCCACATTTCATTATCTCTATGTACATGTATGTTAATTTGTTAACTAGACATGTGAGACTAACATCAACTGATTGCACAGAACATATACAGCACAACTTTATCCATTATACTTATTTTTGTGGTAAGCTTAACTTTAATAATTTCGTTCTTCTAAGGTAATAACGATGTAATAAAAGGTTTGCATAAAGATAATCGTGAAATACACGAATAATGAATAACACCAATTTTGCTGCTAACTAAAAAAAAACCAGTGTTATTGCCGTTTTCCAAAGAAACAATAACGATAATGTTTATCATAAAAACTTTTATTACAATAATACGAAAATAATACGTTTATTCTTTAATTAATATACAGTATACATGTAATAATAATGATCTAGAAAACTTGTAGATAAATTTAATTTTTTAAGAATAAAAACTTGATTTATTTGATTATTAAGTTATAATAGTGAATTTGATTATACATGTACACATACTGGCCAAAAGTATTGGTCACATGATGATTATCATTGAAAATGCAAAATTTTACTTAGAATTTGAAATGACTTTATATGACAACAGCATTAACAACATATAATAAACTTTATATCAATAGACTCATCTAAATATGAACTTTTTAAATTTTCAATTAATATTCTGTGGGATTTCCTTTATTTTTAATTACAGCACTGACTCTACATGGCATGCCATTTACCAATTTTTCTAAATCACTGATAGGAATTTTTAGCTACTCTGCCTTTAGCATATCACTCAATTCCTGCAAATTTTTTAGATGAGATTTTAGCCTATGTACTCATTGATCCAAAACATCTCATAGATACTTAATTGGATTAAGATCTGGACTTTGTGCAGGCTATAGAATAGAGACAATCAAATTTTTCTCTTTTCATTTAATTACAGACTTTGCCCTATGTACAGGTACATTATCATCTTGAAAAGTATATATAATATCATCATCAAGACTTTGTATAAAGTCTAATAAATGCTCTTCTAATAGTATTTTATATGTATTGCCTGTAATTGATCCATCAACAACTACTAAAGAACCAAGTCTCTTTTTTGTAAAACATATCCAGACCATAATACCTTTATTACCACTTTTTACAGTAGGAAATATGCAATTTATATCATATTGTTCATGAGATTTACATTATACAAGATGTCTACCATCATTTTCATATAAAAGAAAGTGAAATTCATCACTCCAAATAATATTTTTCTATTCTTCATTCCATTATCTTTATTTTTTACACCATCTTAGTTGCTTTTTTTTATTACTTTCTAAAATAAGTGGTTTTCTTCTATCAATACAACTGAAATATTCTTGTTCATGTAAAACATATCTTGTATAGAGATAGGAGCCGCAACTAGCCGCAACTCTGTTGCAATTCTCTGATTGGCTGTCACAACTCTGTCGCAATTCTCTGATTGGCTGCCGCAAGCTGCAATTAGTTGAGGAGCCATCTTTAGTCTTGCAATACTCATACTAACTTGAGTCAGTCCAAGATTATTGAATTTTTCTGTTATTTTCTTTGTAGTATCCTTCTAATTGGCAATTACAGTATGAATGAAATGATATTTATCAATAGTCTTCAAAAGAGATGGTCTCCCTAAGTGAGAAATATTAGATATAGTCTGAGATTTTTCAAATTTTTTTATTACATTAATATAAGTTATTCTAGGTATTTTAAGTATTTTTTCAATATCTATGGCAGTGTGATTTCTCTTGTGAAGACCAATAATTATGCCATGCTTAAATTCAGTTAACTCTTGCATTTTTGTCATTTTTTTGAAAATTGAAGTAGAAAATAAAGACGTTATCTTAAGATAAAGAAATCCAAAACTCTTTAGCTTTTAAATAAAAAAAAGTTTTAGAAATTTGGTTGGATTTTTATAGAGTAAATTATATTTAAAATAATGTGACTTGGCAAAATTTTATTTAATCATTGTTATGTGACCAATACTTTTGGTCAGTATATATACATTTGAAATTTAATATAATTTTGAATTAAATATATTATTCTATTATTTGCTCATTTTTTATATTAGAATATTATTAATATAATACTTTTTGATAATATTTAAAAATAAAATAGAAAATATTTTATTTATTACTCACCACAAATGATATAAAAGTAGATAAAAACAAGCATAGGTAAAATCTTTTGAATAGCATATAAGCCACAAAATTTAAATTCGCTACTATCTTTACTCAAACAATTTTTTTAATTAATACTTCTCATTATTTGATAAAGAAAGAATAAATAAATACAATAATAATTAGTTATTCTCAAATTCAAAATATAAAAAGAATTATAAATTTTTAAAGTTTGATGATTGTTATAATAAAATATTAGAATTGAAAAATTATATATTTGTTATTGATTATCTTTAATAATACTTTTAATTTTTTTTGGTGACTTCAGTAGCTACTGCTTGAACAAGAGTGAATTTTCAACTCCTCTTTTTTGATTAATAAAATTGATTATTTTCATACTTAATTTTATTTATATATATTTATATATAAACTCTTTTTATTAATTAAATTAAAAAAAAACTTAAATCTCATTCTAAGAAATTTGTATACATTATATAATTTTATAAAGAAAAATTTTAGTGAAATTTTAATAATATCTCTTTTATAAATTATGAATATATTTATTAAGTCTTGTATAAATATATAAATTTTTATTATGTAAATATCTAAAAAAATATGTAAAATTAAAGACAAGATTATAAATGCTTTAGAAAATAAATTATTAAATTTAAATTAAATATTATTTTATTATTAAATTATTAATAATTAAATAATTTAAATAAAAATAAATAATAATAATAAGAATAAGAAATATTTTTTTATAAATTTTATATATTGTTGTGATATGAATTTTTAGGAGAATATTAGTTAATTTTATTGGTCACTTCATATCATAATATGATTGGATGAATAATTCTTTATATCTTATTGGATATTAGCTTTAGAGAATATTATTTG